GTGTGTGTGTGTGTGTGTGTGTGTGCTCGCACGTGTTGTGTGATCGTGGATCTAAAAATGCAGATCTTCTATTTTGATGCTGTGTCACCTAGAAAATTCAGAATGCAAATGACATCTGTAATCGTCAGGGTTTGGTATAATCGTCAGTACAGGATCGCAATCTTACTTCTCTTTTCGACAGGTGTAATGGCGAAATAAACGAGAAAGGAAAAAAAGGAGAGAACGAAAATTCGAGAATATATATACGATTAACATCCAAACGGATATGCCTAATTTTGCGTCGTCAGAAAAACGTTTTCAATTGTGAATTTCCAGAAATATCACGAAATCAGATGTTTAATGATTCAAACAGGTAAGACACACGCACCGTCAACATAAATCGACAGGGTGATTTAATTATAAGTCGTTATTACGAATTGTAAAAAAAAAAAACTAACACGATACGTACCCCGACTTCAAACGAACACAGGTGACAATGAAAGAAAAATGTAATCGAGAGAAAAAAAAGGAAAGATCTATACAACTGAGCAGTTCGATGCAAAACGTTCAATGATGCAGAATAAGAGTGCGGAGTATGCTCTAAGAAATAAATAAAATCAAATAAAATGAAGAAAATATATAGCATGCCTAAGGGACCGAATCGCAGCTGAATTAAAATGAGACTGATTTGTAGGTACGCACGAGAGACTACGTCAACAATTCATCTTTTGCCTCGTCTCATTTCTGTCCCCTTAACCAGAAACATTTTAATTTTCACGCCTGAATACGGGCCTTACGGTGCGACGGACTCAAGGGAAGCTTGGAGGAAGTCGAGAAAGAGGAGGAGGAAGGGGTGGAAGAGGAGGAGAAAGAGAAAGAGGTGGTGGACCGGCGATATATATATATATATACATATATATATATATATATATATTTGGTGTATGTAATAAAGGCGTAAGCATGCCGCATGTTTCCGCGATCGCCGAGATTGTTTCATCGAACGACGTTCTCGCGATCGTCTTTCTCGCTCGTCACGGAAACAGCATCTCGTTAAGGCATGCATACGGTTAAGTAAGAAAAAAACTTTCCCCGAAGGATAGTGCAATGGCTTCGTATACACGTCACATTCGGTGATATACGGATATACGTGTCGCTTAAGGGCATGTAAGCGACGCGTATATACATATTACATATCGGGGACATCACGGGATGAACGTGGGTTGTGGGATCGCAGGGAGCTGTTTTGTATCAAGATGCAACGAGGTGCGTACTGCGTGTGTTCACTAACCTTTCACGCACGTTGTTGGCCTGGCGACGTTCTTTCTCGCGCACCGCTTTGGTGCCGGGATCGTCGCAGTCTTCGTCGGCGCTCGAACAACGGTTGTTCAAAGACAAAGTAAGTTAGTAACCAGAGTAAAGTTTCGACGTTCGAGGGTGTAAAGCATTTCCCGGCTCGGCGCGAAAGACAGATACACCACGGAGCTACGTATTACTCCCGAATGGATCCCGAGAAATTCATGTAACGGACGTCTCGCACCCCGAGATTTCGAGTGACTGACTGACTGACAGGACTGATAGACAAACGGACGGACGAACGAACAGACGGACAGCCGGGCGGACGGATAAACAGACACTTGGACGCACGCGTACGGATCGCGACGGGTTCTCATCGCGGCCGGGCGAGAAGGACAAATTCCGATTCGCGAGAAACTCGATGCCGACAATGAGAGAGCTTGGAACAACGAGGTTCTCCAGATACTTACTATCTACGCGATCTCTTGGTGCCCTTGCCTTGCGACGTCGAGTTCACCGTGGCGGCCCCGATCACACCGGCCGCCGCGAGTTCGCTGCTCGACGGCTTCGTCTCGCCGCCGCTGCTGTCCGGCGGGTCTTTTCTCTTCTCTAAAGAGATGTATTCTGTTCATTATTAATACTGCCGCTTTAGATCTCCCACCAAGGGTCCGCGTCGTTACATGTGACTTGCGAGATGGAAAGAGAACCGGCCGAAGAGGCGGCCCGAAACGGAGTTTCCACTTCTTCGCGAGAGACTCTTCCACGAAATGGCTTTACTTCACACGGGAGAAACAATTCCGCTGGTCTAACGAAATTTTTCCGTCGTCCGGGTACCAAGACGAAAATTCGATTGTAGGAACCGAAAGATTCCGGTGGGAGGTTTCTACTCAGTCAATCGTTCCCAGTCGTCTCAACCGAGTTTTAACGCAGCTGAATGCTCAAACGAATGTTTTCGCTTCTTGCCGGCGAGTTTTCATCTAGTTCCTTTCTGCAGGAACGGAGTTCTTCTCTCCCGTCCGGAAGATGATGTAAATCAGAAAGTTACGGACACGTTGCGATAGCGGTGGGGCCTCATTCGAGAGCGTCGTCGAGTATTATCTGATGCAAGCGGGAAAAAATGACGCGAACTTACCCGGAAACGGAGAGAGCGCGCGCGGGAGAAAGAAAGAACAAACGCGACCGACCTTCGCGCCGAAGACGGCAATCACGATCTCCGATTATCCGCGAGCTTTGGGCAGAAGGCTTAGTCACGAAACCGTGAAAAGCGTCCAATTAGGAGTAGGAAGTGCGCTTTGCGAGGTTCCGCTCAACCCTGATTCAACGATCTCTCCTTAAACGCTCTCTCTCTCTCTCTGTCTCCTCCCTCCCCCTCTCGTCCGACGACGATTCACCGGCGTTTCGCGAGAGCAGAGCTCACGCTTTAACTCCGCGTGGAACGTGTGCCTCCCTCCGCAAATCCCCGCAGGTAATAGCGCGGTAAATAAATCGCGCGCGCGCGCGATCGTTTTTATTCGCTCGACGCCGCGCCAAAAGCCGCGCCGAAAAGCTTACGCTGCAAATGTTTGCCTAAGTCTTAACGCGCGCTTCCTCCTTCGCTTCCACTTCGGAAAAAGTCCGGATCGCTCGAGCGACAGTTCACTGGTCGGCGAACTCTCGAGGCACGTTCTCTCCCGCAAGGAAAACATTCCAAGGAGACGCCTAACGAGAACCTTCGTTCGTCATCGCGACTTCCGAATCCGCGAGAACGCCGTCCCGTTACTCGGCTGACGGCGAGCCTTTTCTAATTCGCAACTAAATAGGCGCCAAATACAACTCCTCCTCCCTGCCCGCAGGGCATAGTGATTTTAATGGTAAAAGTCTGGCCTGAGACAGACGCAGCGAGGCGGAAAGAGAAACGAAGAGCGAGATAACTGAACGTACTACGCGCGGGAATAATGTAGGCACGACCGCGAGCGCCGGACAGTGAAAGAGAGAGATAGAGAGAGAAAGAGAGAGAGACTCCACGTGATTTATCTAATATTTCCTTATTTGGCCGCGCGAGTCCGTTGCGGAACACCTGGGAACTCCTTCCTTCTTTTTTCCCTTGTCCTTTGCGGGAGCTCGTGGGAAAAGTGATCTCGCTCGATGATGCGACGTAGCGAGAATAAAATAATCGGAGCGATCGGAGCAACGCGACGCGTTCTACGACTCGCCAGTGTACTCTTGACTTCCAATGGAAAATGACTAGACGTATAAGAGGAGAACAGAAGAATACAGAGTGATACGATAACTAACATTCGAGTCCTCGAAATAAGAAAGCAGGAGAAACAAATTTGCCGAGCAGAAATTGCATTGATATCAATAGTCGTCACTTCGAGCACCTTCTGCGAATGTCAACCTTTTTCCATCCTTCATCCGGTCGTTAACAAAATACTTTTTTTCTCTCGAAGATATTCAAGATGGTAATAAATATTACTTCATCTTGAATGAAACTGACGAAATCGACAAACGGGTTTCGCGAGTGAAGCTGATTTTTCCTTCCATGTCGCAAGTTACGAGTCGCGACTGGCGCGCATTCTGAAGCCACTTCGGGGTCAACTTACTGGCATTCGTGACGGATAACCTCTCGATCTTGATGGATCCGTCCGTGTCGGGCGTGGGTGTGAGACCGGGGTAGGAACCCTGAGGTTGCGCTACCGTTACCGCAGAGTGTGGACTCGTCTGAAAGCACAGCGCAATTAGAGGCGTACTAGAGGAGAAACGGGCGAAAGAGAGAGTGGCTGCTATCGCTGCTCGATCGATCCTCGAGATGGATCCTTACCAGATGATCCAACTGCGGTGGTGAGGTGTGCGAATATATCGCGCCATGCGGGCCGACCGGGCCGAGGTGAAGGCCCAGTTGACTCTCCGCGTGGTTCCTTAGGACGTTTATGGCATCGTCCAGCCGTTCCTCCATTCGGGTTCCCTGTACCAACAGAATACCGAGACATTCGACTCGATTACACGCCTGAAGTTGCAGCACGCCGGTCGGAGTCGTTATAGTATATTGCTACTCAAGAGAGGTATTACGACAGAGAGAAAGAGAGAAAGAGAGAGAGAGAGAGAGAGAGAGAGAGAAATTTCCAATTGTTCGTATTCATTAAGTCTTCACGGGAAGAGAATCTACATCGGAAGTTTTTGAAAAAGTCGAGGTCGAGATCGAAATGTCTTATTATTCATTACATCTGTCAGTGTTCCACGATAGGACAAAATAAAAGGCAGTTAGTTTCGCTGATCGAAAAGAGCAGATCTTGAAAGAGAAACGAAAGTCTGTGGCGAAAATATATGACAAAATATGAAAATTCAAGTCAGACCGCGATCAGAATACGGCTTGATCCGATTTATAACGCCGACCGATTGTCGATGGACGATTGTGTGGTTAATGGAAATTCAAGCCATGATTATAAATTGTGTACAATGAGAGCTCTTCATCACAATATATAATCATCGATTAACGAAAAGCGTAATCAGCAAAAAGTGCAGTGTTCCTTGCGTAACCGTTACGTGGTGGTCTCGGCAGAGAGACGACATGCGAAAGTATAAGAAAAAGAAGATAATAAAAGGAGGTAAAAAATTCTAACGCTTCAGCAACGCAGAAAAAAATGAGCGAATGAAGAGGGGGGAGGAGAAAAAAAACTGAAATTCGGCAATCCTCACCTCGGCATGGTCGCGAAGGAAGCCGATGGCATCGTCTAACCTCTGCTGTTCAGGCGCCGGCTTCACACACAACACCAACGCAACAACAAAACCAAAAAAAAAAAGAGAACAACCAAGTCAACACAACGTTCACAACAAACAGGGCGGAATGAGAAAAAAAATGTGTAAAACGAACGGGAGACGTGATAAACTCGATAACTTACAGACGAGGGGAGGACGAACAAATGGTCGCTCTCGCGCGAGGACGGCACAAACGGTGATGATGATGATGATGATGATGATGATAATAATAATGATGATGATGATAATAACAAGGAGGGAAAAAAAGAAAAAAGAAAAAAAAGAACAGAACCGCGGTGCAACGCGATCATGCTGTTTGTGCGACTCTAACGCTGTGCGATTATGTGCGAAGAGCGCGACCGTAATGCTTCACGTTCGCGGCGAGGCCTTCAATTCGAAACAAGTGCAAAAGTTCTCGACTTTTTTTTCCCCTTTGTTTTTCTGCAAGGTTCCATTTATACATGGACATGACTTTTCCTCCCACTCGATCCTCCCCTCTCGGGAGAGAGAGAGAGAAAAAAAATTGTGCGTGCCCTACCGATGGAAGAACTGTCGACGACGCGCGTCGCGTCAACGCGCGTACACATATATAGCGCTGCATTATTATCGGGGAAATGTGATTGGTATGTTCGAGCACTCGGGTAAAAGTGAAGTGTGTCATGTGCGTGTGTCTCTGAAGCGGCCAAAACGACGGAGCGTGTGTACGCTCGCGGCCGCGAGAACCTTTCGACGCGGTGACGGCGATTGATTGCATTTCCCTCGGATTATTACGGCGCCGCGGTATCGTCTCGCACGACGAGGTCTCGACGCGAGGAAATCGTTCCAATGAGAAGAAGCGAAGCATCGAAAGGATCCCGCGCGACCGCTGCTGCCTACGCGCTTGTGCCGACCCCCCGTGAAAGAAAGAAGATTAAAAAAAATCCCCGGAATTAGTTCGAATTCGGAGCAGCGTCTCGATACGTACCATGTGAATACCACGGTTAGGGTCCGCCGTGAAATGCGGGGACACTGGCGCGGCTCCAGGTGCCCAGCCTGGTGCCGAGCCGGTTAAAGGTGGTGGCGAACTGACGGGCGTTGATGGGTTACTGCTATAACTGGATACTGATTGGTCCGTGGGGTAGATCTGCGAAAAACGTCGCGACAGTGACGCGATTACATACAGCGTAATATTTTAATCTGTAATACATTTCGGCATCCAAGTATGTCTCTATTTCCTGCTTCCTCTCACTCTACGTCTGTGCTTCACAGATCCTTCTTCTTGTTTCGCGAAATTATACCATCTTCCTCGTACCCCCTCCCGAGAGAGATTCTTTTACTCAAACCACGTGCTAATATCCGCGACTTTTCATCTCGATCGACTCGCTATTTCGTTCGAATATTTACAAGAAGACACAGTGAGTTTTTCTCATCGATTTTGATCTCCTTGCATGTGGTGAATTTACATGAAAAAAATTAATAAACCAGTGTCCGAGCGTTTTATCCAATATTCATTTTTAAATAAAAAATCTTTTAATATACTTATATAATATGAAAATAAAATAAATAAAATTATTTGATAAACATTTTTTTTTTCATCGCTTAACTTACACATCTTCTGACAACTTTCCATAAATATTTCGAAAAATGCATATAAATAAATAGACGACAATTGTAACAGACAAACATAATAAATATATTCGAAAGTTGAAACATAAACAACTAATAAATATAAACAACCGAACGCTTAAGATTCTAAACGTCAAAAACTGCTATTTACAAGACGCGTTGGCCAATACGCTTGGATACGGGGTCTAACTTGTGTTTTTATACAGACTCACACACCACGTGCAAGGAGATCAAAATCAGTGAGGAGCTCACTGTTGGCCGAGCGCACGTTCATGAGACTTTACTAAGCGTGTCGATATCTCATCTTCGTTAGAAACTTGACAATGCCGATGCGAAAGCGCGACGAGAATCTGCAAGACACTTAGGCGCGACGACCGACGACAGCGAGGTCGACGTCGATACATACTCGGGTGCTTACGGATGCGAGGGTCTTGCCGAGGGTGTCGCCGGGGGTGGTTTGCTGGTTCGTCGTGGGCGCAGCGTTGGGCGCGGAGGGCGCGGTCGTCGGTGCACCAGGACTATGGCTATATTGCAACGATGCCGGCGACGGTGCCCCCGTGCCGCTGTTCGCCGCGACCGCGGCACTACCCCGGAATGTTGACATCGGCGGCAGGGAAGCCGCACTGGTCACCGCCGAGCCCAAGATCGGCGCCGTCGATTCCCCGTTCGGCGACATCGCCGAGTATGCCTGAAACCCCAAAGCGCAAATGTTCCACGTGGTGGTCCACTCCGGTGGTGAGCGCGTCTTGGTCAAGGTCGTGCGACACGAGCATGCAAGCGCGTCTTCCGTCTGTGCGGCCGCGAGCTTGCGGTTCGCGTCTCGGTAAAATAAACTCGGGTATGTTCGAAGATCTGTGGATATTCTCCTTCTCTCTCGCTCTCCGTGTCTTGATCGTCCATGGGATTCTTCTCGGGAACTGGATTCGTAGGAATGTCGGATGATCTTCAGCGTTTCTCGAACGAAATCGTGAAGAACAGAGACGCGTTCTTCGACGTCGCCTCGGAGCTCGAGGTTTATTTGACGCGACCGGGAGAACCTGCCGCGTCCGTATTTTTTCACGGATTCTGTCGTTGGAGGAATCTCGTGGGTTCTTGGGAACTCGGTAGGCTCGAGGAGGAGACAGACACACGGTCGTAGGATTAATCGTCCGTCCCGGACAAATTCGTGGAGCGCTCGTGTAAACGAACGAGCTAACGTCTTCGAGTCTGCGTCCCCGGTCTGATACACAACGGTCATCCCGGTATCTCGGTGCTTATCTTCACAGATTCCAAATTGACGGAATTTTTACATTGTCGGGAACTCAGAAGGTTCGGGAGGAATGTCGAAAGAAAAGAAACCGCCTTCTTTCTCTGAGCGGTTCTACGGAGCGCGCTGACGACGACGCCGATTGTCAACGTTGGCGATTTATTCGACGCGACGGTCGTACGGTCTCGGTCTTTATCTTCGTCGGTTGGAGTCGTTGAGGGAATTTTGTAAGGGACTCCTCCTCGCACGGCTTCCCCCGGAGATGTGTGTTTTGGGAGAAAAAGAGAGAGATAGCGGGCGCGAAACGAGGATTGATTTATCTCCTTGTAGCTACAAGCGATAAAGGTTTCCGTTACAAGCCCGGAGTGATTTCGAGTGGTCGCTCGTGCGCGCTCGACTCGCCTCGATCTATACGATTTCTTAAACGCGTCTCCCTCTCTCTCTCTTTCTCATAATGGATCACTCCGAGGTACCTTTGATATCGGATACGCCCGGCGGGATAGTCGCTCTCTCGCACCTACTGAAACCGCTCGTAAAAGTCTAATTTTAAGCACCGCCGCGGCTGCGGGGCTTATAGTGTATTTATCAACAAATTAAAATGCTCGAAGACGGCACCCAACGGGGAAAAATCGCGCGATGACGCGAGTGCAAAACGTCACGCGCTCGATCGGCGCTTTTCCGAGAGGAAAAACGGTCGGCGAGATGCGACCGTTTCGACAGATATACAGAAAAACTCGGTGGTCTCGCGGGTCTTCCTGCGAGACTCCTCGATGGACGCGGCTTCTCGGAAGAAGGGTCATTAAACCGGGGAAGATATCGTAAATGTTTAACCCTTGCTACCGAAAGAAATCTTACCTCGTGGCGCTCGAATTCGTCCTTTCCGCGAGCGCGTTCGTCCTAAAATCGCGTTACGTCGCAAAGTTTCTCGTCCGGTATCATGCGGGTCGTCTTCTCGGGATATCACAGGCTGTTTATAATTCGATCGCGCGGAAGATTCGTGATGGTAGCCGAGAAGAAGCGCGAAGAAGAAGAAGAAAGTAACGTCGGCGCATGCTTCCTTCTCCCTCTGGCCGTACGAAGCTATTAGCGAAGCTTCGTCGAACATTCGCAATCGCAAACGTCACACGCCGCGAACAGAAGCCTCCTCTCGTTGTCTCAAAGAGAAAGAGGCCGCCGAGAGACGACGGCGCGAGGTGCTACGAAGAGGAGGATTTCGTGGTAACCATGAACGGCGTAAATCAAACGAAGGCTGCACTTGACTAGAAACACGGAGTAGCGGGAGGGTCGCGCTATATATAGACGCCAGTGAGTCATTTGACGTTACTCCGGAGCGTTACACGGAGCACTGTCAACAGTGTCTCTCAACCGTGGCGAAGTGATGAAGAGAGAACGCGTCTCTCCTCGCACGCGACTGTCAACCGGGTGGTCCGAAATAAGACGGCTGGAAAAGAGTCCGCCAGCTGGTCGCGCGGATCACGGCTGATGAAGAGGATTAAAGTCGGCGCGGTAAGTCGCTGACGCCGAGAGTAATGGCGAGAGCGAGAAGACGACGACGACGACGATTCTCGGCGGCTCGAGACGACGGACTTCTTCCTCGGTGGCAAATCGACGATCTCGCCCGGCGAGATTTCAACCGGGGCTCCGCGACGGGACGGGATCGGGGGATTTATCACGTTCCGCGGAAACCCATCAACGATACGATAAATCTCCGAAAAGTTCGCGTATTTGTGGAAGGATGTTTTCGAGCGGGCAGCGCGCGCCGCCGGGTCTCGGAATCTCATCCGGGACGAGTGCATTTCAAACAACCGGCCGCGCTTCGACGCGGATCGTCGACCGAGTAAAAGTTCGCGATAACAAATATTCCCGGCCGAACTGAATTTAGCGGCCGTATTACTACCATTGCCGCCGCTGACACCACGACTGCTACTAATCGCGATATGAAGAAGTTGGCGAGAAATTATCGAGGAGTTTTCGAGGGCGGAGTGGGCGGCGGCCCCCTCCCTCTTCCGGCTCAAGATCAATCTTTTATCGTCGATCAAATTTTTACGCCGACACACCCGCCGACAATGCCGATATGTCGTGCTCAAGGTTTCGCCGAACCTCGTAACTTTCCGAACCGAGGAGAGAACACGCTCTCGACGGTGGCTCGGGAGAGAGAGCACATCGATCTTCCGACGGAGGAGAGTGTGTACACCGCGGGAGTAGGTCGCACCGGGGTTTTAATCTGTCGACTTCCTCGTCGGATCCTCGAGTCCGACGACAGAGAAAATTCGGGAGGAGGAATATCCCCGTGTCTATTACCGAGTTCCAGACACGTTTTCACGACGACCGGAGGAACCAGCAGCCGAGTCAGCCGTGATTGATCGCTTCTTCGACCCGCAATGGGGAAGGTAGAGTCGACGGGAGAGTGAAACGAGAGAAAGGTAGGCGGACGGAGAAAGAAATCACTTACCATGGGGTCATGGGGTAGGTGCATGGGGTAAGCCGGCTGCGCCAGGTGAGGGGGTGCGTATGAGCTGTAGGGAGGTTGAACGCTACCGCCGGCACCCGTCGACCATGGGTCACCAGGACCAGTTCCAGCAGTGTTACCATCTGCAACAAGAGAGAGACGCATGTAGGATCCGATCGATCATGTGTCATGCGATTGTCGGCCGAATGGGATTTAAATAATCGATGCAATCGGGATTAAATGCACATACTTCGCGTCTGACGTGATCCACGTCGATCTTTCCCTCCCTCTCTTCCTTTCTTCCCACTATCTTCGTCTCTTTATCTCTTCGAATAGAGAAGGATTCGAAAATATCTCAATGACGCAGCCGCGATTACGAGCATGCGCGAGTGGAGCGGGCATTATTGTTGTACTCGAGGCGAATCGCTCTCCTCCTCTCGCTTTACGATTCTGCAAACTCCTGTTTTCGCGCGAGGTAACCGAAACGCGACACAACCCGGTGTGAAAACGCCGGCGGGGTCTCTCTCGTTCCACCGTGGCTACATGCGCGCACTTTCTACGTCATTGGAGCGAGAAACAACAAATAGTATAGCACGTGGCGTTCAATGATGAGAGGATGTCGCGCCACGTGCCCGAATAATGGCCGTTTAAATCGAGTTAAAACGCATCGCTGCGACGTTTAACCGAATTTCAAGGCACTCCTCCCCCTCTCCACCCTCGGGCACGCTCTCTCGCACGCCGCCTCGGCTGCGCTCCTCGCGCGTAACGTTTGTGCAATTTCGGTCGATTAACGCGTGACATACCGCATCGATATACGGCGCGCGCGAAACTCGCTAACGAAGAAAGCACCGATACCGTTGTGCCTTCCGCAGTAATTATTTCGAGAACGATTCCGTGACACGATACACAACTCCGCGCGGCTGGATGCCCGCCAAGTGGAAATTTCGCGCTTTCCAACGTCTCACTCGGCCGGTCGGTTGTCGGCGTTGGAGCACCCGGTATAAGGGCCAATAGACGGTACCCGGCGCCCGGGCCATTATTTCAGTTGAAAACAACAGCAATAAGCTTCGGGAACGTATTTCTTGATACTTTTGCTTGATATAATTCCCGTGCCGGGCGCTCCTCGACGAGAAAACGGAAACTAAGCCAAACTACTCGGGCGTTCCTACGAACTACCGGTGTTCGATGTCTGATAAAACTTTTTCGCCCCTCGTCGTGCCTCGCCTCCCATTTATAAGCCATTCCGGTCAGCTACCGGGTGCCACGAACGCCAACACGTATTTCGAGGGCATACTTAGGCCGCTACTTTTCTCATCCGATCTACAATAACCCGCGGTGCAAACTTGGCCGATTTCATAGATCTATCACTGGATATGTGTGTGTGTACGTATCTGCGCATATGCGGAGGTCCCCGCTTTAGATATATATTTATGTTATTATTATTTATTTATATTTCACTACGTGGAATCTTTCCTTTCGAAACTATCGAGTTAACGTTTTTAATCGTCGCGTCATCGAATATTTCTTACGAATATAACCGCAAATTATTTTCTTAATTATTATACGCACAATATTTTTCTTCCGTGGCATATTACGCGCACAGAAACAAAAAAGTGTTAAAAGCTATACGTAATTATTATTTCTTTTTCAGTCTCTTAAGTCAAATAATATCTTTATCAATTTAAGTATATTTTAACAGCCTATAGTAAATATTTACCTGAACGCAGTAATATCTTATTTTGTAAAGAAATTATCGAATGTAAGTATAAAGTGGTTCTAAAAATGTAAGAGACTATTTACTAGAATTATAATTTTAAAAACTTAGGAAAAACATTTTTTTCTCAATTTTCTGCGATTTTCAATTTCTTTCCGTGAGAAAATGGAAAAATTCGTTTTATTAATTTTTCCACAAATTCTTCGGGATTTTTCCACAAAAAATTGGAAAAAACCGATTTCTTTTAAATATAGCTAGAATTATATTTCTACTTCTAGTAAATATTTATATCAAGGAGGATCAGAGTAACCATTTTACTTGGATCAAGTAAATATTACTTGAACGGTAGCACTTTTCTCTTTCAGTGCACGTATACGATATACGGTACACGATAAAATAAGAGAATGAAATAAATATTCCTTGATTATCACTCAAAACGTCAAGTTTGTCGTGCGCAGTGTCTTATCTGGGATCTTACATCTTATATCTTATGGCTTCCCATTGCGTAATTCCGAGTCCCACGACGAATAACTGCAGAGCATAGAGCGTGACGGTGTCCGCCGACACCTGCGGTGTGCGAGATGACGATTATTTATCAAAAGATCCGTTATAATCTACAAAGTGAACCGTAAATCGCAATTACGTCCCTATAAAAGTGAGCGGTTGCGCCCGCTAATAGACAGCTTGAAGCGATTTCGCGCGAAACGGCGATTATTTCGACGACGACGACAACTGCGACGGATTTCGCGGCCGAATCGATTCGGAACGATGAATCGGTATTAGCGAAAGAACATTGCGATCGTGAGGAATCTCCGGGAGAGAAGCGTCTTTTCCTCCGACCGATGTCGGGGCGAGTTATTAAAACAACGATATACCGAGACGACGATAGTGTCGTTAGAACGGCGGAATAGCGCGATTCATCGCGGAATGGCCGATGCCGTAACGAGTATGCGCGCGAAATTGCCCTATCGGTGATACACCTCTCGTTGTTGAAGTTTTCCGCGAAAAAATTTCTTTTTTCTTCCAATACGAACGCACCGAATATACTGGCCGCGAAATTCAGCGACGAACTTCGACGCCCCGTTGTCGCTTGAACAAATAACGAGATTGTTATTGTTTTTACGCGCGACAGGCAGAGCGGCAAATTTTACGAGCGAACGTTAAACAGTTGAATATTAGCGCGCTCGTAAAATCCCTTTTATCGTCCATTCGGATCGTTATGCACAATTTCCAAATGATATATATATATATATATATATATATATATATAGATATATACATGTATATATCTATATATACATATATGTATGTACATATATATACATGCACATATGTACTCGCGAGTCGCGCGTATACATACGTTCGCGCGCTGTTACCCACCGACGGCTGCGCTGATTTCCAGATAACGATCGATCTATCGAACTGCGGAGCCTCCCATTATCTCGTTTAATTACATCCATCGTAACGTGGCCGGCGTTATCGATTATATTAACAGATATAAGTTGGTAATCTATTTCTTAATTAGTTTCAGGGAATTAGTTATTGATAACCGATCTGGGCGGCGAGTGTGCACGCCACTTACTCGCGCCGTCGTTCTAATCGAGGAATTCGAGGAGGAGAGATTTCGCTTTCTTCAAGAAGAGTCACGTATACAGTCGAGCCGAGTCGATCCCGATTCCCTTGTTTTATCGTTCCGACACAAAGAGAGAGAGAGAGAGAGAGAGAGAAAGGAGAAATGGAGATTAAATCCGTTCTCACTTACCGATATAATAGGAGTCGGGGTACAACGCGGCCTTCGGCGACGTATACCTCGGCGAGTCCTGCCCGAATTCATCCGAACCATACTGCAACAGAAATGGGAAAACACGTTCGTTAGCGAAACACGGCAACGACAATTAATTTAAGCCCTATGTTAAACCCTTAATTCTACAACACAGTAGTAGCTGAGATAACAAAATAAGTTTCAATTTAAATTCTAAAACGTAATATAACCCCCACTTTGACCTTGATGATGTCTTAGATAGATTAGATTTTGTTGTTTCAGCACTAAAACAGGTTGTTAATAGCATAGAAATCTGAAGAGTTGAAGGTTCGAGAGAAGAGTTAAAAAGTGTCAGTATCGTCAAAGTGGATTTTTCTTAGTCTATAGGCCGCTTAAGTAAGTACAAACTATCCTTAAGAGTGTCAGAATAGCATCAAAATTTCGACCCGGGGAATCTTACGAAAGAGAGACCATCTCCAACGCCGACCGATCGAGCGGCGCGAATCGAGAGACGATACGACAGAACGGAAACGCGCTGGATATATATAATTCCCGCGGAGCCGTCACGCCGTTTTGCAAGCCGTAAAACCTTTTCATCGGTTCTCGCGGGCCGCCGCGTTTCAGCAGTTGCAGTTGCGCGCTGCAACGCGAAAATTGCGCTATAATCGCGAGTGGTACGTTCGCGACTCCGCTGGCGAGATCCCCTCCCGAGCTACTCTTCTCCATCGGAGGAGAGATACCCGGGTGCACCCGGGGCCGGAGTTGCATCTCCGGCGTGTTATTGCAACACCTTTGTGTATCGTATTGTGTAGCAGCTCGTCCCCTATCGATCTTACGATAGAGGCGATAGAGTCGAGAGTCGACTGTTACGACACCGCGACGTGCGGCTCGTAGCGAGAACGGTCGTTAATTCAGCGACGTAGACGCGCGAGAGCTCGCACGGCCCGAGAAAATCGCGGATCGGTGTGGAGTCGTTAAATACGCGGCGTACACACGTATACGTACGTACACGCGTGAACACACGACGTTATCCTTGCGCAACACGAGCATCAATAAAAATCTAAGATTAGGTCGTCCTCCTCGATCCAATTAATGCCGTCAATCTTCATAGGAACGCGCAGAAGACTCGACGCGACTTAACGATGCCGTACGCCGCGCAACGATTTTATTCGTAATAAAGTTTCGCGCGCGTGCGCTCGTCCGACTGCAACTTTTCAATCGTAGAAAACTGAAGACTGCAGAATCAGGCTCTCGGGTAGACGAAGGAAGAGAAGCAAGGCCAGTAAGAAACGATTGTCGGTTATTATCGTACGGATATTTGAACTATAGAAGGATAATAATGTTTGACAGTGAATAAAATGTGAATATTTTTTCAGATCTGCGATTCCCCCAACAATTTCCATCTGTACACTGAAAGAAATTATAGTCATTTTTGGGGTCAATTATATCTTTTTTATGGTTTTAACCGCAAAAATAGCAGTGGAGATATATATGTAAGGTTATTATCATTGACACTGTAACAACGTTTATTTAAAAAATGGTTCTCCCGACTATAATTCTTTTCCTATGATAATTGTAATTATAAATACCAAATATTCTTCTCTAAATGTATATTACTTTATTATTTTTTTCCGAAATTTTTTGAGTTTCAATTGTACATCGAGTGAAATGCGATATATTTTCGCAGCGAGTAAAAAAATATTTAAAACGAAATCTGCGATCCGCCTGGCGAAGAAGAATAGTGTTCCGAATTTTTCGCGATCCTCTCTTCGACGCGAACCAAAGAACGCGAAAACACGACAATAAATTAATTATTGCTGGCCGCGATTTGAAGTCGGCGAATCGTAGCACAAAGGGCGTAACACCTGGCGAACGAACGAACGAACAGCAAACATGTGATGTATTCACTTAGTACTTAAAAATTTATTTGTGGAATATAAAGTTTAAGTTTATAGATTATTAAGTTTACAGATAGATAGAGAGAGAGAGAGAGAGAGAGAGAGAGAGAGAAATAAAATATATTTTACAGAAATAGTTTATTTCTGCGAAATAAATCTTATATTCCGCAGATAAATTTTTAAATATTTTTTTCTCAGTATAACAACGAAAGTTTGCATTCATTGTTCGTTTATTGTTCGTTCACTAAATGTATATACTAGGAAACCAATTTAGTTGATTCAAAATTCTTGTCCGGATATCAAACAAATGTTTAGGTTGTAAGAACCAAAGTTTGGTTCTCTAAAACGAAAATTTGAAGAATTTGGTACAAAATTTGGAAAACCAAATTTTGGTTCTCACAACCCAAACATTTGTTTGCCCACATCCAAACAAGAATTTTGTCTGAGCCAACTAAATTCTTTCTCAGCACCTTAACGAGATACGCGCGTGCAAAACGTGACGCGGAATGTCCCGCGCGATCGAACGGCGACGCAGTTGCGCGCACGATAAAAATCCGATGTCTGGTCCGATATAACGCGCTCCAATCATTTAAATAAAGAATAAAGCGCGTTATCGGACGCTTGTATTACCCAACTTATTTTGATTACTCATCTATCGCGTGTATAGTCGACGACGACGACGATGACGACAACGACGCGAGTTCGTCGAGAAGCTATTAACAGTCAGAAAAAGAAAAAAAAAGAAAAAGTGCCTAAAAAAGAAATCACGGGTCAAACTGCGTTCTCAGATATTTTGTAATAAGTCGCCGGCGAATATCGCTAAAAGCGGCATGGTGCATCGCTGTCTCGACGGGGAGGAGAAACGACGGCGCGAGCAAGACGTGGTAAGTGTGCGCGACACGAGAGGATCTATCGATCGTTTCTCTCCGGAAAGACGCGGGTATAATAATCGACTTGGCAAGAGCCGCGCGCTGGCCGTATTTTCCGCAAATTTACCATTTTATAGTTGCCGTAGTCCGTGTGGCAGACAAACATGTTGGCGGGCGGACGGGCGAGTGGTCGGGGCGGCGTGCAGATTCGGCGATACAGCGAGTCACATTCGCGTCCGTGTCACACAACACACACGGGGGAGGGGGACGGGGGGTGGTCTCGCGCGCTCCTACGTGTTGGAGCAACGTGATGTGTACGAGCTCTCTACCACCGATGGTACGGAGAGCACGCGGTCGACGACGAGCCGGCGACGAGAGGCGAAGTTGCCGCGCGAACGAGAGAAGGAAGACGAAAAGGAAGAAGAGGCGAAGTCGACGAAGAAGAGGAGGAGGCGGGCGAAGGGAGGAGACAGCTATCGCACACCATACTCCCGTCCCAATTTCGTCGTGATATATGTTAAAATATTCCACCACGGTACTGCTGCCTTATCCGCCTGCACCGTCGCGCCGAAAACTTTCGTCCGCGGTGCCTCTCTCCCCCGCCTACAAACCTTCGCTCTCTTTCTCTCTCTATCTCTATCTATCTATCTTTCTGCGTATCTCTCTCTCCCTCTCACTTTCTCTCCTTCTATCTTCCTCTCCCCGCTGCCGCTCCTCCAACACGCCGAAAAGTACCGCGCGCTCTGCGCGGGGGCGGCGGCAGGCGGGGGAATAAACTTCGTCCGGTAACGCGAGGACTATGGGGCGCCGGGCCGAAATTTAACGCCTTACAGGGGTCATGAAAGAATCGTACAACTTCGCCGACGGAAACTTTGTAACTCCGCGGAATACGCGCGGGCGAAACGTCGCGGGGTATCTCCCTCTCCTCTTGCGCTCGACGTAGATCGATAGTCGTCGACGTACGCGGATCCGCGAAGGCCACCACGTGCGGCGACGAGAAGGCGGCAAAGCTCCAAGGGAGAGAGAGCAGGTGGATGGATGAAAAACCGCGGGAAGCGACGCGATAACTCGATACCGCGCGACGCGGCTGACAACGCGCGACTGTCGGCCGTCGGCGGTGGTGGTGGTGGTGTTCACCAGCGCGCCCCGACCACGGCCGGCGCGACCGACGGAGGCGGTGGGAGCGACGCGCGGCCCAATCGTCGGACGCGCGCTGCCCGCCGATGTGAGGAGCGCGACGCGATTGATCCTGGACAGGATCGCAGGATCGATCGCTTTCGCCGCTCGTGAAGGCGCGACGGAAGGCGATTAATAATTCCGAGTTTACGAGATATAAGCGAAACTGCATCTTTGGCCGGTTCGAGACGAGGATCCAATTGGGAGAAAGTAGAGCATTTACTAACCTTCCGACCGCACTGGGTCAGATAGACCCGGTGAGTTGTGTTTGAAGAACTTAACAATGCGTGTTACCATTTTGCAAGTCAAAAGTAAACTATTTTCACAATAAAAATAATCTTCATATGAAAACATCTGTTTTCGTCATTCCAAAATATTCTCCTTTCAGTAGTCTAAAAAAAAAAAATGCGTTTTTCGAACGTACACTGGTAATATTTTTTTTCTGACAGAACCATTTCTCAACTTGATCGCCTTACAGATACGGATCAAAAGAATGAAAAGTAATGAAATTTGTTTCTAAGTAAAACGCTACCATTCATTACATCTTGCTAAGCACGCATTCACGTAACAGTAAGACACATGTCGAAAGTAGAGATCCGGCGAGAGGCGAGTAATTTCGAAAATGAAAGTTCTTCTTTTCTCTCTTTCAGGATTTACGATCGAATCAAATTAATTCAGAGCTGATAGGAGCATGCACACGGTCAATATTACGCAAAATATTATCGTGCTTGACGTCAATGGATTGAGTAAACAACAAAATTCGATTTCAGCCTCCATTTCGGATTCTTATCAACGGTTATCGGACGGTCAATCAATTTCGAAACGTGAAATCTGTGTTGTATTTAAAGTACCGAATGCTATAGCTGACGCAACTCCAGTTTGTTCCTACGTATTATTTCCGATTCGTCCTATCACCGTGGAATAAAATGAAGAAGAGCCCGGTAGAAAAAAGAGAGAAAAAACGAGGAAGGAAGAGGAACGAATGTTTATTATCGTAAATCCACGCGTGACAAATGAAATCGTTTGGAGAGCGCGCAAAGCCGTCGCCGACGACGTATCTCTGGTAGAGAGATAGAGGAATAATCGCTGCTCGATAAAAATACCGAGTTTTATCGGTAACACTGGTATCGATAACGGCC